GTCCTGTATTAACGGAAACCATCACATTCCCTTATTACCCCACATTTAATAAATGGTGTGCCGTAAAGACATTAGATACCTACCTGACTAATTTACAAGCACCTACGAATCACCCATTACTCACCTTACAAGACACTTGTAAGGTGCTTCACTACAAGCAAATTCATGCTTTATGTTAGAATCCTGTTTATGAGGTTAGGCCTTAACCCCTCACACTACTCTGGACATTATTTCCGTATCTGAGAAGCTTCAGCAGCCTCATATAGGAACATACCTACTCATATTATCAAAATCATTGGGGCGCTGAAAATCTACAGCATACTGTAGGTACATCCCACAACCTGAGAGAGATGGTATATTTGTATGGTATATTTTATTATTTTTTCTGTGGTTTCACTGCTTTTACTCTACATTGGCACTCTGTGTCATCCCTTTTTCCTTCACCCAGACTCTCTCCCCCCTCCTTCCCCTGTTGCTCGTCGGCTTGTTTATTTGCCGACTTTGTTCATTCACACCCGACTGCCTCACACACCTCTCTCGGTCCGCTTCGTGTGAGGGAATCTTTAGACACCTGCGCATGCACAATTTGCTCATGCGCATAGCGGAAGCCATTTTTTGATTGGCAATTTTGCCGTGATTTTGCGCGACGTTTGCCAAACTTTTTTGGGGGCGGGCCAACTCTGATTGGCCAACTGAGTTGCTGGGCAAGCTCCCAGTGTTCCCCAGGGCTCATTCCTGAGAGAACACTTGGTGAGATTGGTACTTGCCTGTATTTTGTTGTGTCTAGTTTCTTTGTTGCCTTTTTCTGCGTTAATCATTCTCCTATATCACTTTACTACTGTTAGTGTGTCCCACACTCCCCTTGCTTAATTTTGTCCCTTTGTTTAATTGATTTAAATATAATCATATACAATATTTGCGTTTTATTAAACATGCAGTCCCAGAAGGATTTTAGCACTCCTTCTGCTAGTGCCCTAAAATCTCTGCAACTGTGGTGGTAGCCAAACCACCCCCTCAGGCTACGCTGTAGGATGCGTCACAGGAGCAAATGAACTCTGAGGAGTTTCATTCATTACTGGACACTACAATGAAGAAGTCAGTGTCTCACGCCATCTTTACAGCCATGGGGACTATGACAGATACCCTGTCACACGCCATCACTTGGGCCTTGTTGTCCGCCCAGAGACCACCTGCCCTAATGGCTCCGAACCCCTCAGAGTTAGCTGGTAGCCCCCAGTGGGCGTAAATCCGCAGAGAAATGCCGTCACATAGACGAGGAGTTCTCCAAAACTTTTGAGATGGACAGGGTACGTCCTGTCACTGAGGATGTGGTTACAACAAAGCCCCCCACTGGGCAAAAATCGGTGTGGACCTGGAAGAGGGCCAAATCCCTCAGTGAATCTTCTGACTCAGTATCGGAACAAGAGGGGGCACTGAGCGAGTCCGATGAGGACTATAATGTTCCAGCGCAGATTTGCCTGACCACGGCCCCTTGTCTGGGCCTGGCGCTGATGCCAAGGCCAGGGTGGATGCCCAAGACGAACCACTCTTTAATCTGGACAGCTTACAGCATCCACGTTCTTCAGAGTGATACCCTTTGGATCACATTGCTAAATACATTGCCTCACGTATAAGAAAACCACTTAACAAAGAGGCATGGAATAAACTCAGGGCAGAATGCCCACGTCCCACTCTTCCTGATATGGCCTGTACCACGTCAGACGTGGATCCCAAATTAGCCCAATTTCTTGGCAAAACAGGATGGTAGTCGAAAAAAGGTCTGGATTGCTCCCTGCAAAGTTGCCAGGACAAAATCCTGGAGGCTCTGGGACCAAGTGCCAAGATTTTCGACATGGTCGAAATGGCATTGGCAAGGGGGTGTCCCCGCTGACTTAATGGCCATCAGGGGCTGGATACAAATGTCTGTGTGCTTACTGGGTAACGCCAATACAGCAGTGGTAATGGAGAGACGCAAGTCCATTTTGCTGAATATAGATCCAAAGTTAGTAAACCTTGCAATCTCAGAGCCTGGAGTGCAGGCTAAAGGTCTTTTATTTGGGGACAACTTCTTGAAGGAGTTAGGCACATACGTAGGGATGTTCATGGCACTCGATGAGGTATTCTCCCAGTTTTTGGTGGGGCCAGCAGATATCGGGGCCGCCTGCCTGGCCGTTCCTCCCGGGGATCAAACCGGGGATCCGGAGGCTCCATACAATCCAGCTTTCAACCACCAGAACAAAAGTCAGTCTCACCGTTCTTTCCAGTTCGTGGCAGACCTTGGCAGGCTCATGGACACAGAGGTTCTTTCCATGGCCGACGGCCTTTTAATAAGATCAATTCATGTTTCTACTATACCTATGGTGACGGGCAGATTTCTTGGCACATGTTAACCGCAGATGCTTGGATCCTCCATACTGTAATGGGTTATTCTATAAATTTTGTTCAACACCCCGTTCAGTGGTCCCTCCCAAACCGCATCGTGTTCTCTACACACGACTTGGGTTTGGTGTCACAAGAAATTCAATCCCTCGCATCCAAAGGTGCAATTTGGGAAATTCAACCCCAGACATCGGGTTTCTTGAGCAATATCTTCCTGGTCCCCAAAAAAGGGCGAGGCATTCAACCGGTCATCAACTTTTGACTCCTGAATGCATTTGTCACATCCCACCACTTCAAGATCTTCTCTTCTCAGGGGACTGGATGGTCAAAATCGACCTACAAGATGCCTAACTCAACATACCGATGGCCGAAGATTGCCAACAATATCTTCAATTCCAATGGCAACGGACCATGTGGCGATTTTAACTGCCATTCGGTCTTTCTCCGGCCCCATGGTGTTTTACGAAACTTATGAAACCAGTGGTTGCTCTTTTACTCAGCAAAGGAGTTTGCCTCATAATATGCTTAGATGATATACTCCTGATGGCACAGGACCCTCATCAACATAAGAAACATCTGTATTGGACGATAACCCTCAGGGACAACCTGGATTTCCTCATCAACTGGGAAAAATCGATCACCGAACCTTCCCAATCTATAGAATTTCTAGGATTCACCATAGACTCTGTGTGTGGGACACTTCTCCTATCATCCTCCAAATCCATAAAAAAGGAGATCCGTCGAACTCTGGCCATCCAATCCTGACCCTGAGGCAACTAGCTAGAATCATTGGTCTCCTCTCAGCATCAGTCCAAGCGATTTTCCCTGGCCCACTTCAACGCCTGAAGTGCAAACACTTTTGCTTGGGTCAGTCATATTCAGACTCTGTTCCTCTTGACTGTCCAGCCAGAGAGGAACTCCGGTGGTGGCTGCAACACATGGAGGTGTGGAACAATCTTCTGCACCACCCTGGACTTCACAATAGAATCAGATGCAAGTATGCTGTGGTCATAACTCCACAGGTGGGAGATGGTCCATTGAAGAACAGACCATGCATATCAATTGTCTCGAATTGTTAGCGGGTTCGTTTGCCCTGCGAAGCCTCCTTGGTGTATCAACCAACTGCTCTATCCTATTACGGATGGACAGTGTATCAGCGGTGCACGAAATATACAGTCTTGGCAGAACTGGCAAAGGAATTCTGGCAATTCTGCCTGGATCGCAATATCTCGGTATGAGCGCAGTATTTCCCAGGAATGTCCAATGTTGTGGCAGATTGGAATTCCAGACACTTGAGGGATACCAGCGATTGGCATCTGAATCCTTCTGTATTTCTTCATCTGCAGGGACTGTGGGGACCCCTAGACATTGACTTTTTCGCATCACGGTTGAATGCCCAACTACCACAGTTTTTTAGTTGGAGACCCGATCCTAAAGCTCTGGCGTCAGATGCTTTCCTACAATCATGGCCGAACACTCACCATTACGCTTTCCCTTCATTTTCTCTGATTGCCTGGACACTTCTTCATATCAGACGTTACCGGACTTCACTGACTCTCATTACCCCATTTTGGATGACTCAACCTTGGTTCCCTACGCTCCTGGAAATGTCAATAGATTACCCGAGGTTATTCCCGGCATCCTCAGACCTTTTGCTAGAACTTGACGGGAACAGTCATTCACTTATACTCCAAGGACATCTCAGGCTATTAACTTGGCTCCTCTCCAGGGATTCAGTCTCCTCACAGAAGTTTCACGAAAAATTATGGACCTCCTGGCAGGAGCTTGGGTTCCAGGAACAAGGAAATCATATCTCCATGCCTGGAACTCATGGAATGGTTGGTGCATGGAACGACAACTGGATCCCTTATCTACACCTGTGAGTCACGTTTTGAGTTTTCTTACTGAACTTTTCCGTATTCACCGTATGGTGAATCTCTATAGATCGTCTATATCGGCAAGCCACCAAGGTTAGAATGGATGCCTAGCAAGCCAACACCCCTTAGTGTGTCGACTACTTCATGGCATCAGGTTTGCACACCCACCACGCCCTAAATATTCCTCTATGTGGGATGTTAACATCGTTCTTTGTTTTTTTACCCAGCTTTCCCACATAATGTCACTGGTGGATTGCCTAAAGGAATATGAAGGCAGGACATCCTCAATACGGGACAATTCATACCATGATTTATTTATAGCTCTTCGACATCCACATCAACCTGATTCCACAGTTACAATATCTAGATGGGTTAAATGGATTATGATGTCCACTGGCATTGACATTTCCACATACAGAGCACACTCGGTGTTACAAAAGACTCGAAATGACTGTGTTACTGTTAATACCCATTGCTACTGTTACCACTCTCTGCGTTTAAACCGAGGAAAACACGAATGGATTACACGACCTCTTATAAAGACCCCATTCGTGATACGAACGAGAGACCCCCCAAATGCTGGCGTGTGCAGCCACTTAACCTCGTCCCCCCGCAAAGTACCGAACGGGCGACCACCCGACCAGCGGAGTGTAGCGGCTATTAACCTCCCAGGCGGCTGCGGTCTGCAGTTAACCACAGACTAATTGATGGGCCTGGGGGGATCGACGTTCGCACACAAAGCACCGAAGGGAACCTGCCAAATAACCACACGAATGGAGACCCCCTACAGTGGGTCGCGTGGCGGCAATTAGCCTGTGGTTTCTGCGGTTAACCGCAACTCAAGTACCATGCTACCAGGTGGTCCTCATTCATGTACCGAACGAGTTCCACTACTAGACAGACAGCGGGGCTTCGCATGAACTTATACCCGAGTTTAGTTCCATAAGTTGGCGGCGAGGTCCCGCTGCCAGCTAAACCGTCTGAAAACATGGCCGCCATCAGAGACTCACGACTCAAAATACCGAACGGACTTTATACGGCAGAAATAGCCCAGTCTGTTCGTGGGATTAGAGCGACATTCGTATGTTTAATGTACTCGAACGCAAGCTATTAAATGAATGGTTGAATGAGCTGTTTTCCTCTATTAATGTTAAAGTTATGGATTTTTATGCAGTTTTCTGGGACATAATAAAACGTGGTCTTTTGTGCGCTTGGAGATAATTAGATTGTATAACCGTTGGCCTCATTATCTCCAAGCTGGGCGGGTACTAATTCAAATGATACACTGTACTGTAATTGGTTACCTGTCTGTACTGTACCTGTATTCCAGCAGGTCCACAGGGGGCTGTCCTTGGACCTGAGGAATCACATAAATTGCCATGTTGTGTGCCAGTAAAGCCAGTTCATTTTGACCCTCAACTTGCAGTCTTGACTCATGTTGTAGGGATCCGGGATATTGATGCTTATACCGTGTTTGGGGATATTCTACACTTGCAGCGGGAACCAAGACCTCTAAGCGATCAACCCCCCCTGCTAGACCGGGGGCAATCGTAACACTCGGTTAGAGGCGCTATGGCATCTAAAGCCTTCTCGTTGGGGTGTAGACTGGAAGACCTCCTACGTGCTGCTGATTGGTCTCGAGAATCTACTTTTCGGGAGTTCTATTTTCGTCCAATTCCACATTTTTCTTCTACGGTGGTAACACAGCTTTCAACTAGCATAATATGAGCCTCTGTGTCCTTTAATAAAATTACCAGATTTGACTAATTTCATGGCGTAAAATCATGATTTTATTAAGGACACAGAGGCAAGTATTATCCCACCCAGACAAGGTAAGTTGCGCCCTCCCTAAGTCACTAATGGGCATATAATTTCATGGCACTGTTGATTACGTTTGTTTACCCTAGTTTTGGGATTATGTTGAAACGACAGTTCGAGATGTTTGAGTCATAAATTGTGGATGTGTATATATATAAATACAGTTCATGATCATATTTTCCCACTTCTTTCTCTGTTTCTTCCAGCCTTATGATTGGTATCCTACATAGATACAAGTTGAATAACAAGAAAAAGGAAACTCAAAAGGCTGGAAAGTGGGAGGGGAGGAAAAGACACTCCCGTATCCCAATGCAGAGCCTCCAGAGTATAAAGGTCACCTGGACTGGTAAAAGGGGGTAACCCTGGAAATTGTAGAAAAAAGGAAGAAAAAAACCCAAAAAGGGATGTCTTATATAAAGACCACCCAGAGGGTAAATACCCAGTCCAATCTCAACAGTAGTGTAGTTGCCAAAAAATAAAAAAGCCTTTATTGAAATCTATTAAAAACCTGGGTAATCAGTGATGGACAGAATAATATAGGGAGAAATATGTATGGTAGGAACAAGGCTAATCAAGAGCCAACCCTCACAAGAAACGGAGAGGGGATAGAAGGCAATATGTACCCCCATACATAACTCAGGTAACAAAGCAGTAGGAAAGAACAGGGAAAGGGAGAAACACACACTCCCAACCAAACAGTAGTGCTATGCTAATACCCTATCTCCTATAAAACACCTTCGTGGGTGTTCTAATCTAAATGCTGTCATAACATCTGAAGCCCCAGGTTACACACACATACTAGAAAAACATAAATGAAAAGGTGCTCAGAGCAAAGTGCTCAAGAGAGTATTAAAAACACAGAAGAACCCGACGTACGTTTCGGCGTGACCACACGCCGTCCTCAGGGGTATCAGCAGTGAGCAAAAAACTGTCCGGGTGGTAAATTTATACCTTAAGCTCATAAGCTTTATTGTAATCACCTGTGATTGTGTCTAAATTGCTCCGGTCCTCCTGCGAATGGGGCTGTGGGGGTGTGGTGTAACACACCATAGTGTCAGCCCACATTTCTATGTCAGAGGTAGCCAGAACAGAAATCAGGTGAAAGGCAATTAACCCTTTGAGTGCCCCGCCCGGAACAGATATAAATGGATACTTACTATATCTAAAAGGCAGTATCCATAGCTTAACAGTTAACCCTTGGAATGTCCAAATTGTATCATATAGGTCAAGTGTGTGGATTTATTCTTATGGCTGTATTGTGTAGCTTTAGTACAATTAAAGAAACAACTTATAACCGTTGTGAACCAGTAAGGGATAAGTACAATGGCTATATGGGCAGTCATACACAGAAGCCGACAATTCTTTTATTGCCACTGTAAATAGTAACCCATTAGTTTATGCAACACAAAACAGACCCCTAAACTCTTAGACCTATAATACAGGTAAAATGAATGGACATATGAACACCAAATATAATAGAAATAAATAAAGAATATATACATATATACAGGCATAACTTAAGATACCATTTATTATCAGAATTATTGCAGTACTTTAAATAAACGGGGAATATGAAAACCCTTCATTTAGCCCCAGGGGAGATAGCGTTTTGAGATGGTAAATCCAAAACGCCTCTCTTTGTCTTAGTTTTAGGTCCCAGTTTCCTTTTCCATCACTGATTACCCAGGTTTTTTAATAGATTTCAATAAAGGCTTTTTTATTTTTTGGCAACTACACTACTGTTGAGATTGGACTGGGTATTTACCCTCTGGGCGGTCTTTATATAAGACATCCCTTTTTGGTTTTTTTTCTTCCTTTTTTCTATAGATACAAGTTGGTTCATGAAAAGTTGGAGCATTGTTTAACAGTTCCTTCAAGTTCTATAGTTCCATTCATCGGAAGCATAGTTTTTCTCCACGGTTGATTCGGCCTATGGTTCTGTTTTGCTGGGATGTTCGTCTGCATCATCAAGAAAGAGGAGTGGCTTAAGGTCACATGGGACATTATGGTGCAAGGAGCATTCTCATTGGATAATGTGACGAAGTGCCCTTCGCCACTTGTGCCTGGAGAGGACTACTGGCTAGCCTCCTGCCATCCGACTATGGCCCCTGTGCTGATAGCGGTATTTTACCCTGCAGAAAGGTTTATTTCTGTATTTCTGCCTGGGTGTTCGGGACTTTCAGTATGTGAGTAGTTCTACCCCAGATAGCTATGCCATGGAGCCTATTCGTGTAACAAAAGACTATGGAAAAGACTTTGGCTCCATGGCAATTGAACTGTATGTAGGTGATCTGAGCGCCATTCGGTAATAATGTGCGCTCAGATCTAAGCTATCTGGGGATATGTTGCATGTATATGTTTTATGTAGTAATTGTAACATTGTGTAATTTTATGTCTTTTTGTAACCATGTGGATGATGGAGTCTTGCCTCTGTCCTGGGAGATAATTTGATTACTTCCCAATTATCTCCAGGAAAGAGAGGAGGGATTGTGATGTCACTGTGGGAGTGTTTTTTTTGTATTGTCTGTGATTGGCTAATATCCAATATGTGTCCCATTGTTCCATCAGGTCCCCTAGTGGATTGTCCACGTGGTGGACACTTGCGCAAATACCGGGCAGGTAGCCCTCAATAAAGCAGACCTACTTGCACCTTTCTTGAAGCCTTGGCTCATGCTTGGGGGAAGGGATACCTACACTCTGGGGATTGCTATAATCACTTACTCCCCAGAGTAAGCGCTTGATTTGTTCCTGCTACGCTCTCTGGATTTAGGAGAGGTTCACCCACTGGGAGCCGGATCCTGGTCATGGATCCAGGGTGGGTGAGAGACAGTGAGGCCCCGGCGCAGCTGCATCGCTGGAAGTAGGGTCTGCAGTGCTTATGGTGTTGGTTGGAGTGCTCGGAGTCCTCAGCAAGCGCTAGGAGCATCGATTGGCTCAGTTGGAGTGCCAGCGGTCCGTCACAGATAATATGTTTATAATGTATTTAACCCTTTGGGGTACATGTTATTTGTTTTTTCTTTGAACATTTCAATATCTTTTCTTTCATGCTGAGGAATAAAGAAAGAAATAAAAGGGGGCGGAGCGTAGCTTTCAGGCTGGAGGGACGTGCCACGCAACTACTAAAACAAGGGGAAAACCCCGCAAAAATGACACGCACGCCACCTGGAAGGTGATAACTAAGACGGGGGTACCCGGGACAATCGACCGAGACCAAACTCGTAACAAACGACCACCAGGAACCCGCAAACACAGCATGGGGCCTACCTGCCATGATGCCGGGGAGAGCCGGCCACTCTCCACACCGTCAACTTCGCACTCCGACCCCGCTGTACACTCACCTCCTAACCCCCTCACCTATGGACCGATGGGGGTAATCTCAGTCCGTGCTGGAAGTCTGGAGCAGCCAGCCTGCCAAATCGCTCACAGCAAAGACACAATGCACCATTAATCTGCGCACCTAAGATGGCGGCTGAAAAAGCGACACATGAGCAAAGCCTACCCTTACATAACGAGCAGCACCAAGACATCACGAAATGACTAGATGACATCTTCAACCGCTTCTGGGACCAGTTTTGGGAGCGACAATGAGCAACCCAGCCCACGCAGCATACCATACAACCTAAGGGTGAGCGGAGCCACGGGAAACGGAGGGTGAGAGGAAATACCTTGGGCATAGCGACAGCATCCCCACCTACCCACACACTACAGGGCCCACCCGGGCTGAAGGTCACAGCGGGGAAACCTCGACAACATCGACCACACAAATGGAAGCCCAAGCACCACAGGCACAAGCAACTCACCAAACCCTCCGTTACTCCCAGATGTGGAGGAAAATCGGACTATAGCAAGCACCGAGTTTGTGGTGAAGAGGTGCAAGTCCACACACCAGCCTGGGGCAAGAAGGTCATCCCCACGAGCACCCTCACACCAGTGGCCCCCCGAAGATCAATGGGCGACGACCATATCCCGTCAGAAGGCATTGGCTAAAAGAGATGCTGCCATAACCCCAAAAGCACTCAGCGTTCCAGCAATGAGCAGCTACTGCAACCAACCAACCTCAGAGGCCAAACATTGTTCGGACTCAAGAGCAGAACAAACCAAGTTGACATAATGTTTTAGCACTGTTTAGATAACGCTGATGTGCCAATGCTTACACGAGGCAGCTCCAGACCACAGCATACTTTAAGCATGAGTGTAGCCTGCTTAGTCCAAGCCTGATGCATGACAAGCTTAGTTAAACCTGTGTTAATGTTTATGTCTCCATGATTAGATTACCATAACCAAGGTGTATAATCGCCATAGCGAACAGCAGCAGGCTACAATATTAACATACAAATCCTGTTCACCTCATGTTGTTACCTATTTTCATATAGTCCTGTCTGCAAGCTATACCCGTTCAAGCAACACTCATGAATTAGCACAGAAACTCACAGTTATTTGCATTTCTAGTTACGACTGTTTAGCATTTCTCACTCGCACTTAATAATAAAAAGAAAATGTGCATGCAATCTGGATAACCCCAATGTAATAATTGTTGAAATTAAACGTGAGGAATGCCGTT